GCGACGCAGTGCGTGTAATCCACTCAAAACGAAGACAAGCCGGAGTTTAAGTTTTGCAGGTCCTCGATCAGCACTCGCCTATAAGCAACCTCCAGGCTTGTACGCGCTCACCTTGCGGCGGCATCAACTATACAGGCAGGCTTCTGGAACGCACGTGGGGACTCGGCGCCTTTTGAGGAATGACGATAAGTCGAGATAGGCTTTTTGCCTAAGGCTTAGCCTTGGCCGAAGCAGAGTCAAACACCAGAGTGGATCTTGGGCGAGGGTTCTGGCATTGTTGAGACAGCTTCGAGCTTCCACCCGATGATCTTGGCCCGACAAGCTTCGCACACACGCAAGCAATCAGAGCCGCCAGTGTCAAACTTCCCTCAACCTTATTTGCGTTCTAGTATGCGGCTGTGGCTTCATCGGGCTGCGAAACGGTGGCCCCCTTGTTTGGTTGTGTCTTGCGCGGGATGCTTGGCAGCGAAGCCGACGCAACGGCTCCGCTTTAAGCGTTTCGTCATCCGTTTCGACGCCCCTTTTTGGCACCACGAATCACCGTCCCTCGACAGCTTGAGCCGCATCTTATTTTCTCGTTGCCCAGTCCATGTTCCGCGCTTAGCAGGCCCCAGTCAAGTCGGAGGAATCCGGACCGCACCATCGCATGGTGATCCAGATTGGAGACCGCCATGCCCGCCGCCTAGGGGTTCTCTCAAGTCGAAGGGACTCTCCCTGCATTGCGGCGCGAAGCCGACGCCCGCGTCACAGCTATTCGGTCCTGCTGCCCTGAAAGCGATGCGTCAGGTTCGCTCTAGGCCCCGATATGACAGGTAAGATGTCTATGTATGACGGACATGAAGTAAGGAAGGACTCCCCAGTACTGTCAATCTGAATGGACAACTTCGATATGGTGACTACGTGGATGCAGTGCACGAATACTATCCATCATACACTGAGTTATCCACAGAGTACGCAAGCAGCATAGCCACGATGCAGATCATGGAAGGCGATAAGCATTCGTCTTGAATGTACTAAGCGACGGAAGCTAGCTCAACATCTTGGCGCATCGTGCACTGCCAAGGTGGAGTTACCATTCCTGGAACTAGATGAAGCGAAGAGGACCTCAGGTCGTTATCTAAGTGTACGTGCGCTGGCCGCTGCTCGGAGCTTATTCGACGCTTTGATGTGGATACCAGGAGGATGTACGCAACACTTCGTCCTCGCCAAGCACTCTGAGATCCCACCATGACTCCGTGGAGCCTCATTGACTAGCTGCCAGAGGTATTTGCGCTAGATTGGCACGCAGTTCGAAACAGGACCGATACTAGAAAGGCAGACCCATGCTGATCCCGCTCGGCGCGTGTTAATACAGTGGTCCATTCCCGAGCATCGCCTCTCGGGTTTCTATCAAATTGCCCCGTGCAGGTCAATACTTGTCCCTATTGCGCGTTTTGTGGTCATAGTTTCTTTGGTTTCTTTCCTTTATTTGCCGTCTCTTCCGTCTTTTAGTCTCTACGGTGCAGGACACCTATTCTATCATTTCAGCAATGGATACTCGCTACCAACCAGAAGGCTTGTCCTTTGGCGCAAAAGACACCTTCAGCCCTAATTTCGAGAACAACGGACAGTTCCCTCTCCCACCAAACCAGCAGCAACCTCAATATGCACCTCCACCTCAGCCTCAGCATATGAGCCAGCAGTACGGTCTGCCTTCCGGACCTCGTATGCAAACTCCTCAGCAGCAAGGGCAGTATGGTCTACCTTCTGGACCCCGTCAACATTCTCCTCAATCAAGTCGGGATGTGAACAACTACTCCCGCCTGTCCAACCCTCAACAGCAACAGCAACAACAAACACCCGAGCAACAACAACTACAGCCAAATCAGTACCAGCCGCAACCTCAGGTCGCACAACAGAACCAGTTCTCTTTCGAGTCTGGCGAGACTACTCGCATCAACACATGGGCAGCCAACTCGCCGGCGGCAACACCAGCGCCTATGTACGCATCTAATGGAGGAGGCTACTTTCCCGGTCCGGTTGATGCTAACGGATACCGCGTCGACACGAAGGAGAGGCAACCAGAGCCAGAGAACCCTTTCCGGGACCCAGCTCTTCAGTCGCCACCCCAGATGGACGATATCGATCTCGAGAAGCACAAGCATGCCGGTGGTCACTCGGAATGGGACAAGCACACCAAGATCCCCGGCAGGAAGGATCCCAACCAGCCCTACCTCACTTTCGGACAACGGCTCAAGCACTACACATGGGCGAACTATACCCTGACAATGGCTACTGGTGGTCTCGGTACGCTTATCGCCATCCAGCCCCATTCCTTCCCCGGTCTCATCACCATCGGTGCCGTTTTCTACATCCTCAACCTCATGCTGTTCACTGCCGTCACCATGACAATGGTCCTCCGCTTCACCAAGTACGCTGGGTCCTTCAAGGAATCCATCAAACACGAACGTGAAGGACTCTTCCTCGGACCTTTCTTCCTATCGATCGCTACAATCATCACTGGAACGCAGAAATACGTCATAGAAGCGTATGAAGAGGATCACCCGAATCGTGCGTGGGCAATCACTACCATGGCAGTCGCTTTCTGGGCATACACCTTCATCACTTTCTGCTTGGCTTCCTTCCAGTACTCGTTCCTGTTCTGCAGCCACACGTACAAGCTCACCAGCTTCATGCCCTCATGGCTGCTCCCTATCTTCCCTATCATGCTTGCGGGTACGATTGCCTCAGTCATCGCCAAATCACAGCCCGTATCGTCCAGAATGCCTATCCTGGTCGCCGGACTTGGATGCCAGGGTCTTGGATTCACGGTTGCTATTCTCATGTACGCGCATTACATTGGCCGTCTCATGCAGGTCGGATACCCCGATCGTGAGCATCGAGGAGCCATGTTTATCGCTGTCGGACCGCCTTCTTTCACCTGCTTGGCACTGATTGGTATGGCCAACGCTCTTCCCGACGACTTTGACTTGCAAGGCGACGGCCTTGTCGACGCGAAGTTGCTCAGGACTTTGGCTCTCATTGTCGCACTGTTCCTTTGGGTATTGGCTATGTGGTTCTTCATGATCACTCTTGTCGCCGTAAGTTCGCCACCGTGTCTCGTTCTGTAACAATACTAACATCATCTCCAGGTCATCAACTCGTGGGCTGTCTACTTCCATCTCGGATGGTGGGCCATGGTCTTCCCCAACACCGGTTTCGTCATCGCCACCATCTCTATCGGTAACGCGCTGAAAGACGAAACGGTGCTCTACGTGGGAAATGGCCTCACGATCGCCATCATCACGATGTGGTGCTTCGTCTTATTCAAACACGTACAGGCCATCTATGTCGCCGACATCATCTACCCCGGCATGGACGAGGACATTGCAGACCACTAAACGCCAAACCCAGTAATCTCAGCACCATCGCTCCGCGCCAGGCGATCCCTGCTACCAACTTGCTTTCAACGGCGTTTCTCTTCGGTTTACGTTTCTCTCACTCGTTGCACCACCACGTATACGCCTGGCGTGAGTCAAAAGCCTCACGCTCCTTTTATACCCCCATGTTTCCGCCATCGCTTCTCCGTACCTTCTCCGAAGCCGCCAGCAGGTCTACAGGCTTCCCTTGTTTAGACACCACACTCTCCATCTCCATTCCAGCATTAGACCTAGGGCGCGCCAACAGACACTTGTAATGCACACACACACCATCACTCTTTGTATTCCCCGAGTTTTATCCATTTTACTCTCTCCATCGGCTTTTGCATAGCGTCGGCGTCATAAAAAATCGGGAAGGGGCAACAGATACCACGGGCAATCTTTTCTTATACATACTTCGTTTCTCTCGACACGAAGTTTGCGCTGCACTGCACTTTGATGGGGGCTGGAGGACGGAGATATTGAAGTTGGTCAAAACCCGTTCCGATAGTTGTAGATAGCTTCCACAAACAATGTTCGAATGCATGCGCGCGTTTGTTGCTCTTTCCCACCATATTATCGTGTTTTCGTCTTCGCTTTTCTCCCGTTCCCGCCAGCTTCGCAAGCTTCACGATAGCCAGATTACGATCGGCCAGATATCCATCTACGTAACTTCCCGTCCTTAGGCACCTAACTAACCATCATCACTCCGCTCACCATCATCAAAGCAACGCATCGACATCCCATCCTTAGCAACACTCCAGACCAAACAAATTCCCCTACCTACCACACAGCAAATGCCACAGCAAATGAAACACCTCAACAGTCTCAGATCCTAGTGGCCGCGCCAGCCCTTCGACCATCTCATTCAGCAAAAAAGCTTGGCCCGCTTGGCGGAATTTCACATGCCTCTGCACTGTAACACGACGATTCAAATTGCGCGCATGTGGCCCGTGCGTTTTCGCGCTCTGTAGTCTGAGATAAGCGCTTTTGTTTGATGCGTGCGCGGGAGCCAAGACGGGCTTGGGGGGCGCGTGGGATTTCATGTATGTGCATAGGGCTTGGTAGTTTGGGGGGGATTTGGGATGCTGGTCGTGGGATTTGCAATTGAACCTTGGGAAAGCTTGGCGTGGGTGTGGTTGTTGTTTGTGACATGGGGAGGATGGGGAGCCACGAAAATGAATCGGAAGGGAATGGGACTAACTGAGACTGTGTGTGTGATGAAAGAGGAGCATGCGTGCAAGGGCTTTGTCGCTGGGCTGGGGCTGTGAGCGTGATTGATGCGTTGGTCTACGTATCCTCCTTCCCCGGATAGCGAGTGATGCGGACTTGGCGAGTAGACACCGCGCGTGGAGACGGGATGATGACGGAGTGGAGACGGAGTACGTTCTCTGACAGTGTAGTGGAGAGGGAAAGATGGAGTGTTGGAGGAGTGAATGGGGAAGTGGAGATGTAGATCGTTGTATGCGTGTTGTATGGTACGAGTGGAACTGGCCAGCGCTTCAAGGACGTTTGACGCGTAATATTGTAGCGGGGAGACGGGAAGATAGTCGTCATGACGTTGCATCGATATATGTCAAGATGGATAGATGGATGGCCTTACTATAGCGTGCTCTTGGGCGCTTCTTTGTCCTTCATGGAACGGACTAGTCGGAGTGCTTCGTCGAGTCCTCGTTTTGTGTTCTCGAAGTATACGTGTGAGAAGGAGCTGCTGGCTTGCCCGCTGATGGTTCGCGCTTGGATACCGTGGCTTATCACACTTCCCTGATAGCTATGTTAGCTTATGCTGTTCTCTGCCACTCGATAATCAAGGAAAGATGGAGATCAGAAACTCACTCTCATCAAATGGAAAACCCTCGCAACATCCCATCGGTCCTGCCTCGGATCCCACCCAGCCTTCTTTTCATAAACCTCCAATAACTCCTGCATACTCGGTAACCCATTCTGCACTTGATTCTCCTCATCATAAACATCGCCCCCTTGATCATCCCTCACCGTCTGCACCGCCGGCCCCCCAGGCATACCAACCTTACTAGCCCTATTCCAATACGGCCCCGTCACATACACAACATCCATAAGCGGGTGTCCCAGCGTACTCAACTCCCAATCCAAGATAGCAACCACCCGGGGCTCAGTAGGATGCAAGATAATGTTATCAAACTTGTAGTCGCCGTGAATGATGCAAGTGCGTTCCTGGGGCAGGTGACTTCTTATGTAGGATACGATTTCGTCGAAATGCGGGTGTGCGCGACCGAGTTGCTTGCCTGTGGTTATGTCGCGGACTTGAGCTTGTTGGGCTTCGATGCGGGAGAAGGTGTTGCAGTGGCGGGCGTAGAAGTTGGTTTTCTTGCCGAAGGTGGAGAGGCCGACGGCGTCGGGGTCGATGGAGTGGAGCCAGGCTAGAGTTGAAATGACGGATTGCCAGGCTGCGCGACGGTCGGAGAGGGGCAGAGTGGACAAGTTCGGGTCGGTGATTATACGACCTTGGATGTATTCCATGACCTGATGGAGAGGTAGGTATGTTAGATTGAAAGCGTTTGTCGGGAGAATGACTGGGACTTACGTAGAAAGCTGTTCCGATGATTGATGCATCCATACATAGGCAGTATACTTTTGGAACTGGAAAACCCTCAACCGTTCCGAGTGCTTTCAAAACTTTGTACTCTCGATCGACTTGGTGTGCTACAGGCGAGATGATGGTGCCGCTGGGTTTCTTTCGGAGTATGTAGCGTGTACCAGCCGCATCGTCGACGTAGTATGTCGGATTGCTTTGTCCGTAACCAATCTTTGTCGATAGTACGGGCGTCTTCAACTTAGGTATCTCTTGCTGTAGGTACGAACCAAGCTTTTGGTCGTCCAGATCATGTTGCGTCTTCTCTTTCTGTGTGTTGACCATCGTGGAGTGTGCTTTGCCTGATTCCTTCGATATCAGCTATCGCGTCACAGACAAGTAGATACGTAAAACCCATGGTGCTACTGAAGGTTTACATTGGCGTTGTGGTCGTGTGCGAGTAAGCTGCGTCGATCCAAAGGGTTAGCCTCGGGCAACCGCGTGTGAGGGGTTCTGGAAACAGGCTAGCGCTTGCGGGGTGCATGTGAGCTGCGCGCAGTATTACGAGCTGCAATTACTACGAGCATCAACACCATCAGGGCCAGAACGAAGCTATAGTCTAGCAATGAAGCTGGATAGACAGAATCTCTACGCTAAATTATCGCGCAAAAGGAGTATCAACTATACTCTGGGTATCCCAAGAAAAGCTATACAAAAGCCCGACTATAACGCCAAAGCCTGACGGGGACAGCAACAACAACACCTCGACCGACCGTCTTTCCACTGTTCTACAACTTCGGTACAAGAATTAAAACCCTTCCACATGGCGCCGAATGTCTACATGTAACTTTTTCCAGCCAAATACTCATTACGCGTCCTCATGTCGACGCCTCGCTTCCTTCGCTGCTGAAGTAACTTTGATCTAATCGCAATATCCATTCAATCTTCTCCCTCTCGCTTCGCGCTCGGAAGATGTACGTGTTGCTTCTCGCGAAGACAGCAAAGACAACGTCCTTGTGCGCGCCGGCATTTCCTTGGCCGTTGCTTTGCTGTCCGCCTCCAAGGAGTTTCGCGATTTGCGGCGAATGGTCGATACGCGCTGTGCTGACATTGATGGCGTTGATCTCGTCGCCGTCTGATGAGTAGATGTGGAGGTATGGCTTTCGTAGTTCGACGTATCGCCGTATCCAGCGCGTGTTTGTCGGATCTGGAGTGAGGAGGTAGGACGCTTTCATTAAGTTAGGGTTCTTGCTAATGAAGCGGACGGTAGCTGTCAAACTGGGGGTTGGGTTCGGCGATGGAGAAGGAGAGCGTGCCGCAAAAGCGGCGCCGTTGGTGGGAGGCTCAAGATTCGTGGGGTTGAGGATGATTTCCGCAGGCGCTTTCTTGGTCTTCCAGAGCGAGACCATGCGTTGGAGGAGTGCTATCTGAGCCTCTTCCAAGGGCTTATCCTTTGAGGAAGCAAGTGCGGAAGCAGGTATGCTCAATGCCTTGGACGACAAAACAGAACGCGCTGTTTCTATCTCTGCGATTCGAGCGCGGCGCTTTTCTATGTGAATGAAGTCGCGCACAAGCGAGACACCGCGCGGCGTCCAGCCCGCGAGCTGCTCTTCACCCTTCACGTAGTCGTCTTTCGTGTTCATTCGCCAGAGGTCTGTCGCACGCTTGACGGAGGTGGGGCGAATAGCAACGTTGAAGATTCCTACGGTCGAGTGAACGACCTTCACCGTGTTCCAGATATTGGCTAACGAGAAGAGAGAGGTCTGGCGCATGTAAGAACGGCCCCGGATCTGTACAAAGAGGTCGAAAGAGAACGACATCGGTTCGATAAGCTTGGAGGAGGTGACGTCGAACAAAAGCGTGACTTTCACGCGGAAGTTGTCCTTTGTCGCCCGATCGAGAATTTGAGACGCGTGAGCCGTACTGTCCCATCGGCCTACAAATTTGACGTTTGTGGTGCCATCGGCGTTCTTCCTGATGACAGGTGGCGATGTCAGATCGACAGGTACTTCCTTTACGGGTGAGCCGTAGTTAGGACTGTTACCAGCTGCATCGACCAATCGAATGTGACCCATGCGCAGCGATTTGACATCCTCCCACTGTATCGTGTCTCCGGAAGTATGGGTGAGGTTGACAACGATGCGACGCGCTAGACCCTGGTGGAGTTGGTATACCCCAGCATCCATAACGTTGCTCTGCGTTACCTCGACGGGTTGGTATGTCCCGTCGTCCGTAATCTCTTGGATCTGGATGCGTGAGAAGATGTCGTGTGTATCCTCTGTATAAAACTCCGACTCTGGAAGTCGTGCATGACGGCGCTTCTGCTTGGGCTTTTCCGCAGAGTCGCGCATGTCATCCCAGCTCAACAGTTTATCGAGGTGGATATCCGTAACCTTGGCAAAGATAGAGATTCGAAGGAAGGTGTCGCGCGGGCTCGGGTATGGAAGACTCATGCTGTGCACACTCTCAAAGCGGATAGGGCCTTCGTTGAAATCGGTGATCCAGGTCGTGGTCGTGGCTCCACTCTCGTCCGAGATACCAGGTACAAAGAGCACAGCGTGGACTTGGGTGCCTTCTCGTTCCGGAAACCCAACAAGCTCATGCATACCGACATTGAACTTGAGCGTAGTCGAAGGTGCTTCTGCAGACGAAGGCTCCAGTGATAGTCGGATGATACCAATGGGGTTTGCTGTGTAAGGAGAGATGACGTCCAGGCTGAAGTCTCGTACTCTTGATTCGAACACAGCAGCAAGCGGAACGTCCACATCGCCAATACGCGAGAACTCGGGCATACAGGGTTCTGAGAACGGCGACTCTGGGTTGAAGTGCTGGAAGTATTCGGGTCGGTTCATGTACTGATGCATTTGATGCATCCGTCGTACGCGATCGCGCAGCTTCTGTAATGACCATAGGTGCACCACTTCGTTCTTGAAGTCGATAACGCGAACACCAACGCATGGCTTGGACTGGCTGTCGAGGTATTCGTCGTCTTCTCCCGGAATGCCCATGTTCACCAAGTCGTAGGATGACGGAACAGTGTGGCCAACATCGACAATGCAGAACTGAAAGACTACGCGCTTGTCCATCTGTTGACTCATGACCTGAGCCTCTTTCAGAACAGCGGCATTCTGCAGAAGTGTCTCGGCCATTGTGACGTATTTTCTTCGTCGCCACTGTTTGAAAACAGTCCGGATCAACTCCAGTTGCTGCTCATTCTGTTCGTTGTGTGCATCTTTTGCTTCGACCTCACCTTCACCTTCGGCTTCCGGGCTTCCGTTGCTTTCAGGTACCCACTCGTGGCCAAGCTCTTTCATTTGACGTGCAAAAGCCTCTTTCTGCTGTTGTAGCTGCTTTTGCATCTCTTCTTTCGCGGCTCGCAGCTCTTCCAGCTCGACTTTAGCTTCTGCGTCAGCCTTTAGCTTTGCACTGTAGTCCTCTTTCCGCTTGTCCATCTTCTCTTCCATGTCTTCTCGTATCTCCTCCATCTTTTCGCTGCCATCTTGCCTAGGCGTAGATGGCATCGTCAACATGGTATCGAGCGAAAAGTTGTCTAGCGTCCCTCCAGAAGCGTACTTCTCTCGTACAGGATATGAGGACATCGACTCTGTATCCTCGTCGCTGAAGATGCGACTCTCGGGACGTGCTTTGCGGGTTTCGCGCAACCTGCTGAGATCTTCGAAGAGAGCCTCAAAGTCTTCGTCTGGGAGATTTTCGATGCGTTTGTCTGGTCCCAGCCACGCGGTAAGAGCTTCTCTGCGTGCATAGGAGAACTCGGACTCACGACCGCGTTGCCAAAATGCAGGCGATCCTGCCCTCGGACTATCGGGGTCGAAGTCAGAGTTTGCGATGCTGATGGCGCTATACGATCTGTCGTGACCGGGTCTTGGTGCAGGCGAGGGAGAGTTGAGCTGGCTGGCGGTAACCGTCTGTCGCAGTAGGCTTGTGCCTACTTCAGCACGCTCAGCTCTTGCCTCTTGCGGGTTGTTGAAGCGGAAGATGTGGAAGTCGCCAAGGATGATGCGGTGGCCGCTCTTGAGTAACCTTGGCTTGTCGATGCGTACACCATTGACCATGACACTTGCGGTTTCCTGGGGTATCACCGTCACCTTGCCGTCCACGTTCTCGAAGTGACAATGTTCGGCAAGAATCTGCGAGCCATTCAGACGTATTTGTGCGGTTTGGCCTTCAACATCAGAATTGCCAACGGTCGTCGTGCCCGGTTTTAGGTTGTAGACGAGACATTCAGTCAAGAGAGGATCATCGCTCAAATTGACCAAATGAGGCATATTCTTTGGTGTTGACAGACCGACGAAACCCTTCTCGATGCTGATACCAAGTTCTTCCAGCGCGGCTTCTCGTTCCTTGTGGATCTCTTCCGTCTTCTGCAGCTTCTCTTCCCAAGTTTGATTCAACTCAGTATAGAGTTTCTCTGATTGATCAAGCTGCTCTGCAATCTCGGCCTTGGATACCTTCTTGATCGAACCGTCTGCTTGTGTGATGGAAACGATCTGCTTCTCCAATGGTGTATCGGGTGCGTACTGTTCTTCTATGATGCCATTCGCTCCGGCAACTCCACCGCCTCCTCCACCCAGCTGAGTCCGCAGTTTTGACAGTTCTTCCTTGAGCTCTCGGATCATGCGCGCGTTCGGGTCTTCGTTTACGACAGCGTGGTTTTTGATGCGTTTTGCGGAGTCTGCGTAGCGGAGGGTCGAGAGTGTCTCCTCGAAGTTGATGTCGGCGGGAGAGATGGCAGCAATCATGGCTGTCATACTGTTTCCTCCCAAAGAGTCTTTCAAGAGCCATGTCAAGATGGAGTCTCGGTATGGCACTTGGGTACCCTTCTTCTTGCCTCCCGACGACTGGTCTGCAAGCGCTGCAATGACACGACCCAGTGTAGACAGAGACCTGTTGATCTCGGCACCCTCCTTCAACCTTGCGCCAGTCGCACCCGTCGACTGGGCTCGTTCCGATCCAGCCAAATCGACCAAACTGATCTTGGCGACCCTCTCTCCGCTCATGCTTGTCTCGACATCGTGGCGTTTCTGGGTGAGGGTAAGGGTGAAGACGGCGTGCGATCGCGAGGACGTCTCGTTCATGTTAGTGGCCGCTACGGTACGGGCCTTGTTTCCCTCGTCCATGAGGTTCTCGATTTCGGGAAAGGACTGGACGACCAACTTGGCGAGATCCTCGACATAGGGACCAGTGGAGGGATGCTCGCGAACTCGCAGGTTTCCTTTATTCGACGGGTTCAGCAGGTCGCGTACGCGCTCGTTGTAGATTTCCAGGTAGGACACTTCGACGGTGCAGGACGAGTTCTTGTCTGCTTGTAACCCCTTGATCCTCTC